GAAAGAATTTTTCTTGGGACTCCAAGTGTCTTTTTTTATTATAAAACAATCTTGGGGGCCCTGGCGTCTAATTTTTTAAATATGAAAGAACCCAAAAGGTCACTGGTGTCTTTTTAAAAGAATATGGAATAATCTTTGGGGTTCATGCCGTTTTATTTTTGAAAGAATTAAAAAAAAAAAATTACGGACTCTGGATAGGAGTCCTTGGGGCTCCAAGTGTGTTTTTTTTATTGTAAAACAATCTTGGAAGCCGTGGTGTCTTATTTTCTAAATTGTAAAAGAATTCTGGGGCTTGTTTTATTTTCGAAAAAATTTTAAAAAATCTTGAATGTTCCAGATGTTTGGAATTTAGGGACCACAAGTGTCTGGTATTTTTTAATCATAATAAAATCTTGAGAGGCCCTGATGTGTTACTGGTCAATATGAAAGAATATTAGAGACCTTTTGTGTCTTTTTTAAAAGAATGTGAAATATTCTCGGGAGTCCCCTGTGATTTATTTTTTGAAACAATTTTTAGAAATGTTTAGGGCTCCAGTCTTTAGGGCCCAAAGTGTGTTTTTTTTAATTATTACACAATCTTGGGGGTTGAAGGTGTCGTAAATTTTTAAATTGTGAAAGATTCCTGGGAGCCCCTGGTGTCTTTTTTAAAATAATGAGAAATAATCTCAGGGGTCCATTGCGTTTCATTTTGGACAAAATTTTAAAGAATCTTGAAGGCACCAGATAGGAGTCCTTTGGTTTCAAGTGCCTTGTATTGTAAACAATCATGGGGGCCCTGGTGTCTTATTTTTTAAATTTTGAAAACATTCTAAGGGCCACTGGTATCTTTGTTTAAAGAATCACAGGACTCCTTGTTTTATTTTCGAAAAAAATTTAAGAAATCTTGGGGGTTCCAGATGTTTGACTTCTGAAGGAATTTAGGGACCACAAGTGTCTGGTATTTTTTAATGATAATAGATCTTGAAAGGCCCTTATTGTTACTTTTGAATATGAAAGAATATTAATTAGAGACCTCTTGGGCCTTTTTTAAAAGAATGTCAAATATTCTCGGGGGTTCACTGCGATTTATTTTTTAAAACAATTTTTAGAAATGTTGAGGCCTCCCAAGTTGAGGCCCAACAGTGTTTTTTTTTATTATTAAACAATCTAATTTTTTTGAAAGATTCCTGAGGGCATACTTTGCCTTTATTTCTTAATATACATACATACATAGTATTCTTTGAACACGATACTTCGCCACCTTGGTTCACGGCGAATAAAGAAAATCATCAGAACTGAGATACTTGGGGCGGGGCTTATATTTTGCGTTTTTTTTTTCTTAGTATACATTGCCACCTTTTCACAACAAGGAACTTAAAACATGGTTAAAATGGTATATTTTTGCAGAGAAATATGGATTTTGCAATTATAGGGAGGAGTCTGATTGAAATATCGATAATTCCTTATACAAGTTTTCCATTTTAAACATGTTTTAGGTTTTTGTTGTTGAAATAAGTCTACACATTTTAAGAAAAAAAAAAGGCGAAATGTAGCCCCGCCCACCCGCCCTGTCTCAATTGTAATGATTTTTTTTATTGGTCGTGAGGCAAGGGGGCGGAGCTTAACTGCAAAATCCTCACTTCTCTACGAGAAGTCTAACTTTTTCCTAGAGAGTGTTTTACAGACAAACAATAGCCCCGCCCACCCACCCCCTCTTCATTCTGATGACTACCCTTAATTAATACTGTTAACTATTGACAATATTGTTGTCTTATTGGAATCTTCGGCAAATCTCTAAAACCGTTGGTGAGAAAACAGATATTTTGTTACTTTCCTTTTATAAATTATTTGATCTACAACTTATATTTCAACGGTTTTTTCTTGGTTTATAGTAATAGTAATATCGATGTTTTATTCGCCATATTACATATACAACATACGTTATTGGCATGTCAGATTAAAATACAATAAATAGAATGTGTAATAAGGAAGATATAAAATAGAAGTGTAAATAGTCTTAACGAACCAAAACTTTGAACAGTTGTTTTATTTTTAATTATCTAAATTTAAACTGTTCAAAATTCTAAACCATAAATTTCGTCTTTTTCTGCTGCAATAAATTTTAGTAGTACAATTTTTTTATAAAATTAATCACCCAAATGGAGACGGGTGGGTGGGCGGGGTTAATAATATGTTCCTCCGCAGAAAGAATATTATGTATATTAAGAATAAAAAAAGCAAAACATAAGCCCCGCCCACCCGCCCTATCTCAATTCTGATGATTTTTTGTATACGACGTAAACCGAGGGGCGGAGCTTAATTGTAAAATCCTTATTTTTAATTTTAAGATCCTTATTTGTCTACAGGAATTTACCATTTTAAACATGTTTTAATTTTCTTGTGTGAAAAGCTGACTACACATAATATAAGCCCCGCCCGCCCACCCTATCTCAATTGTGCTGATTTTTTTATTCGTCGTGAGTCAAGAAGGCGAAGCTGAACTGCAAAATCTTCATTTCTCTACGAGGAATTAAAAACATGTTTTCGAGTACCGTGAATACTAGAATACAAGAATACTATGTATATTTAGGAAAAATAAAGCCAAAAATTAGACCCCACCCATATCCGCCCCGGCCTCAATTCTCAATTGTGATGAATTTTTCATTCGTTGTCAGACCGAGGGGCGGAGCGTAATTGCAAAATAGATATTTACCTATACAAATTTATCATTTTAAACATGTTTTAAGTTTGTTGTTGTGAAAAGATGACTACACATATTAAGAAAACAAGGCAAAATATAAGCCCCGCCCACCCACCCTATCTCAATTGTAATGAATTTTTTTATTCGTCGTGAGCCAAGAAGGCGAAGCTTAACTGCAAAATCCATATTTCCTTACAAAAATTCAACATTTGAAATGTATTTTAAGTTTCTAACAATAAAAAATTCTTCACAATTGAGATGGGGTGGGTGGGCGAGGTTTATATTTAACATGATACTCAACACAACATGTTTTGAGTATAGTAGTAATGAATTTTTCATTCGTTGCCCGATTTAGGGGCGGAGCCTAATTGCAAAATCCATATTTTCCTACAAAAAATTACCATTTTAAATGTGTCTAAGTGTCTTGGAATAAAAAAATCATTACAATTGAGATAGGGTGGGTGGGCGGGCTTTATATTTTGCCCCTTTTTCTTAATATACACAGTATTTTTTTAACACGATACTCAAAAACATATTTTTAATTACTTGTAAAGAAATAAGTAGTTTGCAATTAAGCTTCGCCCCCTTTGTTCATGGCGAATAAAAAAAATCATTACAATTGAGATAGGGCGGGTGGGCGGGCTTACATTTTGCCTTTTTGTTTTAATATGTGCAGACTTTTCACAACATGACACTTAAAACATGTTTAAAACGGAAAATTTGTGTATCGCTTCAATCATGTTTTAAGTTTCTTGTTGTGAAAAGAAGGCAATATATATTAAGAAACAAAAAGGAAAAAAAATATGCCCACCCACCCGCCCTATCTCAATTCTGATGAATGAAAAACTACAACGTCAAAATTGGCGTGTTTGCTTAAAACATGATAAAATACACTAAAACAGATGAAAAAACAGGTAAAAAAGATTAAATACATGAAAAAAAGTTAGGTGAAACTCTACTGTCTTTTTTTGAAACATCTTATGTTATTTTTGGAACAATTCAAAGAGGTCTTTGAGACTCAAGTGTCTTTTTTTAATTGTAATAGAATCTTGGGGATGTCTAGTGTCTTTTTAAAAGAATGTGTAACAATCTCGAGGGCCTATTGTGTTTCATTTTTTAAACAATTAAAAAAAAATTAGGGCTCCAGATACGGGTCTTAGGACCCCAAGTTTTCATTGTAAAACAATTCAGGGGGCCCTGGTGTCTTATTTTTTAAATTGTGAAAGAGTCCTTGTGGCCACTGTAGTCCTTATTTAAAGAATCTCGAGGCTCTTCGCCTTTTATTTTGAAAACATTAATTTTTAAAAATGTTAAGGGTTCCAGATATTTGACTTTTGAAGGAGTTTTAAGGGCCACCAGTGTCTTTTTTTATAATAGAAATTTAAGTTCCCTGATGTGTTACTTCTAAATTGTGAAAGAATCTTAGGGACCACTGATGTCTTTTTAAATAAATGTGAAAAAATCTTGGGAGTCCAATGTGTTTTATTTTGAAACAATTTTTAAAAATCTTGAGGGTTCCAGATAGGAGTCTTTGGGCCCAAGTGTATTTTTATCTAAAGTAAAACTTGATTCAAAGAGTCTGGAAGTTCCTTGTGTCTTATTTTTGAAACAGTTTTAAAAAACTTGGGGGCTCCAGATGTTTGAATTTTGAAGGAGTCTTAGGGGTCTCAAGTGTCTTGGGACTCCTTGGGTGTATTTTTGAAACAATTTTAAACAATCTTGAAGGGCCCAGATCTTGGACTTTTGGGTCTTGGAAGTCTCAAGTGTCTGGTTTTTTTTTGCAATTATAATAGAATCTTGGAGGTTCCTGGTGCGGTATTTTTAAATTGCGAAATAATCTCGGGGGTTTTTAATTGCAGCTCAATTTTTACGCGAGATTTCAACTGTCCACGGATAGAGAAAGTAAATATATAAAACCACTGATTTTAGTACCCAAACACACTCAAATTTATTCAAATCCTGAACATCATAACTCTTCCAATTTCCCGCATTTCAAAGCGGGCGCCGATCAAACCTCGATCACTTAAACATCAAACGAAGAAACGCATCGCCTTCACCGGCCATTTATAACCTCAAAGCCCGATTTTCGGCTCTTCCCAGAAGCCACCGTCAACAAAACCGCTAGTTCTTTAAACCCGAGCAAGTTTACGATTTCTCGGACGCGCGACAGCTGCACTAGCTACTTCCAATAAATTGATTAACTATCGCACAACGTGGGCGTAATGGCCGTATCTTTTTTTACAACTGAATTAATGATCCGATTTTGCATAATTATCCTGAGGATGTCAAAACAAAACGCCTAAAAATGTCTACCACTCACTTTGCAGGCTGGCCGCCGTGAAACTGAGCAGTCCCTGCAAAGACCTGGAATTGTGGCGGAGCAGCGTGGCGAAGTCCTTTTGTCCTTGCTTCCTTAATAAATCTTCGGCTTCGTCCACACAACACTCGCCACCACATACACTGCCTGGAAAAAAAAGAATTACCAGAGGAAAATAAACAAATCGGGGATTGTTTGTAATAAAAACATACAGCTGGTGTGTACACACAATCAGGGAGATAAAACGGATTTAATTATAGGTGGCAGGGAGGCAGGATGTTGCTGGAGGAAATGGTAAAATGGGCACAAGTAATAAATGCGCGGTGAAAAAAATTGGAGGTGGAAGTTGTTTTAAAAATAATGGTAATTGGGTTTTTCGTGCGAAGATTAAATTTCGAGGTGTCGGTGGAATTTATTCACCATAAAGGACGTCGGAGGGCAAAATTCAAACCCTTTTCTGCCACAATTTCATATATTTTTTGTAATAACACAGACATCATCATCATCAAGCTAAAATTAAAAGAAATTGGCATGAATACAAATCAGTTTGAAACATAACCTCAAACCTTACCGGAAGACAAGTTTCTTGGTGATTACTAAATTAACAACTTTACTTTATAACTTTTCAACAGGAAAATGTGTTTCTTTGCACAATATGGAAATTATATCACGAATTTCGTTGTTGTAATTCACTTTTTTGGACACACGATGACATTATAGGCAGTGATGTCAGAATAAATTGAAAGATTTCGGTTGGAGAAACCATAGAGTTTATAACCCTAGAGGGCAGTTGTGATTTAATTCAAAAGCGTGTTGGATTAGAAAACTAGGAAAGTTTCTTGGTGATTACTAAATTAACAGTTTTAGTTTCTAACCTTTAAATATAGACGCAACAATGATAGTGTACACCGTGGTGTCAGAATAAATGAAAGAGTTCAACCATAGAGTTTACAACCCTAGAGGGGAACATTCGAAAAATTAAAAATAATAATTTTTCCTTTTGTGGGAGAACGTGATGTGAGAAAACGAGAAGCCGCTATTTACACGAAACAAAATAATTATTATAATTATAAATAAATACAGTGTTTTCGGGTTTGGTCATGTCTCAAACTATACTAAGTTACTTATTACGGACTAAATTCATGTATAAAAGAACATAATAACATCACTATTTCCGGTTGACATAATTTTGAAACTCACTAATGTAACTTGACTCTAGAAAAGTCAAATTTTAAGATCACTTCACAATTCCTAAACTTGAACCTTGACATTTCGGGTGCATTTTTTGCATGTTTATTGATCAACCACTAATGTATGCAGATGGCACTTAATTAGCCCCGTAATTGGGGGTTTATCTGTTTAGAGCGATGATTAATTAACAAGACCCGATTACTCCCCTGCTGTGCAATCCCACACCCTCTGCAATCCCACCAAACTTCAAAAGAACCCGTCGATAATTTGGCTCCGCTCCACATCCCCATCGTTATTATTTATCTTTTCAACTCTTCCCGAAATTGTAAACGTAACTGCAAACCGAACTCACGAATCCTCTATCGATCATCATCTGTGACAGAACCTTCATCACACGAACACAGAACCTGAGGCAAAATTTTCATCAGCCCCACCCCCACACATCCCATTTGAATCGAAAAAAATTGAAATGCTTATCGCAGCTTATGGGAAATTAGGGGAGAAGTGTCGGGCCTCGATCGATCCCTATCTTGTAAATGTATTGTTTCAGCTTTTATTTTTCTGTATTTTCGAGCTGCGTTAATTCCATTTGTGTTAGTCGATTGGAAGGAGCTTAATGACAGCGGAAAATTCCGGATTTCGCTCAACCCGCAGCGGAATATCGGCAATAAAGTGGATTATCGATTTGCTGCTTCGTGACAGAACAGTTCTTGAACGCCCACCCACATGGACTTGGGCTGTGCGGAGCAGGAGGTTTTGCTGAAGTTTGACATGAAGTTTGTTCGGCGGTGTGGTGCTTATTGGCGAAGATATCGACGTGTGGCAAAAGTTTATTAAGCAGTTTCGTGGATTCTGTCAGTGGCTGTCTAACTTTTTTCAAAAAATGGCCCTTCTGGTTGGCACTTTCTTATTTCATATAGGCGATTTTAAAAAAATGGAATAATGTAGATTAAGTTAATTTGTACCCCTATTATTAGGCCTGTAAGGCAGATAATAAATTAATACTACTTAAAAAATGGAATATTTGAAGAAACGAAGCCGAAAATAACTTATGTAGGTTGAAATCAATAAAAAAAAATTCTTCCGGTATTTTTCGAAAGTGTAGGAAAAATGGTCAAATATTTTCGAAGTAGTGAAATACTGAACGTTCCGAAAAGTTATCTAAAAATCTACAAAAAAAAATTCTAGGAAATACTTATGTAGAGCTCAACGTTTTCGAAAAATTCGGCCTAAAATGGGAGTTTTTAAAATATCTCGAAAATTGTAATTTTTGTTTTATCAAATTCAAAGTTCAGAAAAATTGTTGGAATTTTAGAAAAAATGAAGCCAAAATTGACTTATGTAGGTCGAAATCAACAAAATAAATTCCTTCAGGTATTTTCGAAAGTTTTTGTATATTTTTAAATACGAAAATTGAGCTTTCGGAAAAGTTATCTAAAATCTACAAAAAAAATTCTAGGAAATACCTACGTAGAGCTCAACATTTTCGAAAAATTCTGCCTAAAATTGGGGTTTTTAAAATATGTCGAAAATTGTAATTTTTGTTTTATCAAATTATCAAGTTCAGAAAAATTGTTGGAATTCTCGAAAAAATGAAGCCAAAATTAACTTATATACGTCGAAATCAACAAAATAAATTCCTTCAGGTATTTTCGAAAGTTTTTGAATATTTTTGAAATACGAAAATTGAGCTTTCGGAAAAGTTGTCTAAAAATGTACAAAAAAAATTCTAGGAAATACTTATGTAGAGCTCAACATTTTCGAAAAATTCTGCCTAAAATTGGGGTTTTTAAAATATGTCGAAAATTGTAATTTTTGTTTTATCAAATTATCAAGTTCAGAAAAATTGTTGGAATTTTCGAAAAAATTAAGCCAAAATTGACTTATGTGAGTCGAAATCAACAAAATAAATTCCTTCAGGTATTTTCGAAAGTTTTTGAATATTTTTGAAATACGAAAATTGAGCTTTCGAAAAAATTTTCCAAAAATTCACAAAAAATTCCAGCAAATAGATTTCAATGTGCTGATTTGAAAAACAAAAGTGGCTGATGGTCTCGTATCAATATCTCAAAAATTGTAATTTTTGTTTTATCAAATTATTAATTTCGGAAAAATTGTGGAATTTTCGAAAAAATAAAGCTGAAAATAACATCTGTAGGTCGAAACCGCCAAAAAAAAATCTTTCAGGTATCTACGAAAGTTTTTGAATATTTTTGAAATACGAAAATTGAGCTTTCGAAAAAATTTTCCAAAAATTCACAAAAAATTCCAGCAAATAGATTTCAATGTGCTGATTTGAAAAACACAAGTAGCTGATGGTCTCGCATCAAGATTCTCGAAAAATTCTGCCTGAAACTGGATTTTTTAAAAATATCTCAAAAATTGTAATTTTTGTTTTATCAAATTATCAATTTCGGAAAAATTGTGGAATTTTCGAAGAAATAAAGCTGAAAATAACATCTGTAGGTCGAAACCGCCAAAAAAAATCTTTCAGGTATCTTCAAAGTTTTTGAATATTTTGGAAATACCGAAATTAAGCTTTCGGAAAAGTTTTCCAAAAATTCACAAAAAATTCCAGCAAATAGATTTCAATGTGCTGATTTGCAAAACACAAGCGGCTGGTGGTCTCGAATCAAGATTTTCGAAAAATTCTGCCTGAAACTGGATTGTTTAAAAATATCTCAAAAATTGTAATTTTTGTTTTATCAAATTATCAATTTCGGAAAAATTGTGGAATTTTCGAAGAAATAAAGCCGAAAATAACATCTGTAGGTCGAAACCGCCAAAAAAATCTTTCAGGTATCTTCGAAAGTTTTTGAATATTTTGGAAATGCCGAAATTAAGCTTTCGGAAGTTTTCCAAAAATTCACAAAAAATTCCAGCAAATAGATTTCAATGTGCTGATTTGAAAAACACAAGTCGCACATCAAGATTTTCGAAAAATTCTGCCTGAAACTGGATTTTTTTAAAATATCTCAAAAATTGTAATTTTTGTTTTATCAAATTATCAATTTCGAAAAAATTGTGGAATCTTCGAAAAAATAAAGCTGAAAATAACATCTGTAGGTCGAAACCGCCAAAAAAATCTTTCAGGCATCTTCGAAAGTTTTTGAATATTTTGGAAATACCGAAATTAAGCTTTCGGAAAGGTTTTCCAAAAATTCACAAAAAATTCCAGCAAATAGATTTCAGTGTGCTGATTTGAAAAACACAAGTCGCACATCAAGATTTTCGAAAAATTCTGCCTGAAACTGGATTTTTTTTAAATATCCCAAAAATTGTAATTTTTGTTTTATCAAATTATCAATTTCGGAAAAATTGTGGAATTTTCGAAGAAATAAAGCTGGAAATAACATCTGTAGGTCGAAACCGCCAAAAAAATCTTTCAGGTATCTTCGAAAGTTTTTGAATATTTGGAAATACCGAAATTAAGCTTTCGGAAAAGTTTTCCGAAATTCACAAAAAATTTCAGCAAATAGATTTCAATGTGCTGATTTGAAAAACAGAAGTGGCTGATGGTCTCGCGTCAAGATTTTCGAAAAATTCTGTCTGAAACTGGATTTTTTAAAAATATCTCAAAAATTGTAATTTTTGTTTTATCAAATTATCAATTTCGGAAAAATTGTGAAATCTTCGAAGAAATAAAGCTGAAAATAACATCTGTAGGTCGAAACCGCCAAAAAAAAATCTTTCAGGTATCTTCGAAAATTTTTGAATATTTTGGAAATACCGAAATTAAGCTTTCGGAAAGGTTTTCCAAAAATTCACAAAAAATTCCAGCAAATAGATTTCAATGTGCTGATTTGAAAAACACAAGTCGCACATCAAGATTTTCGAAAAATTCTGCCTGAAACTGGATTTTTTAAAAATATCCCAAAAATTGTAATTTTTGTTTTATCAAATTATCAATTTCGGAAAAATTGTGGAATTTTCCAAGAAATAAAGCTGGAAATAAC